GATCACAAGACTAGGCTGGGTGTTGGACGGGCACAATCCAGCCCTACCACGGCAGAGAGGTTCTTGACCAGCTCTGATGCCCCTCTGAAAACAGGAAAGGCCAATGCCTCCTCTCGGGGACCCCTGCACAGCCATGGGGCTCCAGCAGGGCGGGGTGGGGGTAGCTTGAGAGCAGCCGTAGGCCTCTGCCTCCTTGGAGCGCTCGTTAAACCCCCGAGCTGACTCAGCTGGGCCTCACTCTGATCTTGGGGGCCTCTGGCCCCGGAGGAAGCTTCATCAAGTACTGAAGCCCCCTTGTTTCTCTTTCAATCCTTCTAGGCCCACTGCAGCAGCACAGATGATCCTGGGGTGTCGAATCTGCGCCCCCGCACTGTGGTTTGCCCCACCTGCGGCAAGCCACTTCCGAAAGCCAGCAGGGGCCAGAATGCTGCGGCCAGCTCCATGTCCCCAGAAGCATCCACCTCCAATGTCACCATCGCCCTTGGGGGCACTGGTGGGGGCAGCGGTGGCGGCCTTGGAGAAAACCTGATGTTCTGACCCACGAAAGGTCAGTGCACAAGAAAAAAGGCCCCTGTCTCTGGGGCAAAGGAATCCAGCAAGAAGGGGACTCCAGGTAGCCGAGTGTCTAGGCACAGCCTGAGCTCCAGGCTAATGGATCTCACTCATATGAAGGTCCCAATGGGAATTCCAGCTGGTGGAATCCCATCATATTTGGTTCTTCCTCCTGCCCGCTGGCCAGGGCCAGTTCTGTGCCAGGATCGATGTGCTCTAAATACAAACAGGTCCCCAAACACGAGTAGGAGGATCTGGTGAAGGCTCCTCTCTGCAGATCTGTCACCGTGAAATGGTCTAAATAAATTTACTGACCCAGATTTAGCTCCCCCGTGGCTAAGCCAGCTGTGCACATGCTCCTTCTTTCAGGCCACTTGTGTGCCCCCGGTGGCTCCCCAGGCTGGGGTGTGCCTGTTCTGTGTCAGCTCCCATCTCTGCTGCTGTGAACCAGCTTCAGAGACCCTGTGGGCCAGTTCTGATGCCCTGTTGCACCCAGTCCCCTCGTCCTCAACTGGGCCAAACTCCCACACAAGCCTTTCCGGAGTGAGGACTGCAGGGTTTGCTGGCTGTGTGTGCACAATGCTGGTGAATCATAGAATATCAGGGTTGGAAGGGACCTCAGGAGGTCATCTAGTCCAACCCCCTGCTCAAAACAGGACCAATCCCCAACTGGTCCCCTCAAGGATTGAACTCACAACCCTGGGTTTAGCAGGCCAATGCTCAAACCACTGAGCTATCCCTCCCTCCACTCCCACTCATCAGAGACATTCCACAGCCCTCCAGGTAGAGGCTGCGTTATTTGGGTCTGCAACAGAAAACCTGTCAAAGCCAGAGAAATATTCCCCAGAGCAAGGAGCCTGGCTAATGAGGCTGCATCCGAATCACCAGCTCCCTCTAGGGGCCCACGTAAGCTCTACGTTCCTGTAGCAGAGCCCAACTTGTAGCTGTCTAGGTCAGCGCTACCCCTGAATGGGCCCGTCTGTCCATAACTAGACTGTCCAGGGTCCTTCAGAATATGGAAGTTCGGAGCCTTCTGCCTCCAAGGGAACTCCCCTGACATGAAGGGCCCACGACGCACCTTAACAGGGACCGTGGGACTCGCCAGTGGTCCTTCGAAACCAGCAGCCTGTCTCCTAGGGTGACCAGTGGCTTCCGAGGAAAGTACAAGAGACCCCTCCCGCCCCCCATGGAATTGCCTGACAATGGGGGATGTTTCTTCCTTACCCAGGCAGCTAGTGACTGGCTCACGCCTTGAAGCATGATGGTTTGTACCTTGTACATGGTTGACCATGTTAACTATGCTTAGAACATTCAAGATAAGGTCCCTATTTATAGGGTTACGCCCCTAGTTCCCCACACTCTTGATTCTGGCTTATCCATGTGTCCCCTGGGCTGTTTTACTGGCCAGTCAGGTGGCCAGCGGCTCAGATCTCCAGGGCTGGCTGCTAGCCAAACTGGCAAGTTAAAAGCCTCCCAATCCCCTGAGCCAGCCGCTGAGGATCCCACTGGCAGCATCACCACAGCAAAGCCAATAGCCAGGAGTTGTGGTTCCTATTCTAACATTAGCTGGGGGGGACTCT